TCCCCCCCCCCCCCCTTCCTGGGGGGGTAATGACAGAAAATAATTGAGAAGCACTGCTTTACACCAACATGACACTCAAAACAGTGCTGTTGCCTGGACAAAAAACAGCAAACAAACAAAAAAACAAACAAACAAACAAAAAATACATCAAAAATATTTTTTTAATTTTGGAAAAAATAAAAACCCATGAATATGCGATTCCGCGGGTGCAAGACTGCGAGTCCACTGAACTTCCAATATAATCAACTCAAACATAATTAAAAGTTTTTCCACTTCATACTCAGACAACTGTAAAGTTACTATAAATACTATTGTTTCTTCCTGGCCATAATCCTGCTGGACTTCTTTTAGAGGAATTTAGCTAATCTACATGTCACTCTTGTTTCTTTATCCTCACTATATTATGACAAAGCCATGTGGAGACTGCAGCAAGTAAGTCAGATTCCAAAAATCAGAATGGAAGGGGTTAAGATTCATACATCAGCAACGCATCTCAAGGAATGAGTGTTCCAGAAGATGAGGTCGGTGCGAATGGTGCTGCGGTTTCTTGACTCTTCCGCTAAATACCAAGAGGAACCTGATACCTGCTCACTCTTCCGTAAGATATAATGTGACGTGAGGGCTGCCCTTATCAATTCTTGTTAGCATCACTGGCTTCACTCACGACTCATGCAGCTGTTTAGCATCTGGAGGCCTCCTTGAAAATCTGCTGCAGGCTAAACACACGGCAGAAGTACGATAGCAGAGATGTAACTTTGCGGACGAGGGGAACTATGGAAAAAAAACGCTTAACTTGAGATTTCAACCTTCCTGGGTCACAGGCTTTTGCAAATACAGTATTACAGATGACACCCGGCTTCATAGCCTGTGAGTGGGCACGGTATGCATTTCTCTACACGAGTGTTGTTGAAGACGGGGTGACTTAGGTCACATCAACCTTGCTGACCATCATTTTGAGCTGGTCATCCCACTTCCCCCGGAGTCCTTAACAGTAAGCATTTTCTTCAGTGTCATACTGCCATACTAAGCAAAATCCATTGAATTGAATAAAAAAATACTGAGGCAGTACATAAATACTCAAAGGTTATTCATGATTGTCTATATACTTAAAGCAAAATATTTCCATAGTCGTGTTTGTGAAACTGATTTAAATTGATTAGTGGTTGCGGTTGCTCCCCTTAATTCATTGGCAGTGTTTTTTGTCCTTTAGAGTAAAGCACATCTTATGTTTGTTAGACCAGACCTGAGCAAAATCCATCCCACAGACCACAACCTGCCCAGTAATTTTAATGACTGCTTATAGCTTTGTTTTCCATTTTTATTTCCCAATCATGACAACATGCACCAAACATACACACATAGCAGTTGATCAAAATAATACAATTTAAGTTTCTCTCATGGCCCCTTTGAAAAACTGCCCAGTATCTCATTGTGTAGTGGATGAAAAATGCTTCAACCATTCAATGATATTAGACTGTTTTTTAAAATGTTCCAGAGTAATGCCGGGGCTAGTAAATATTCAATAAATAGCTGGAAAGTCACACTGGACCAATTTATTAGTTGATAATAAGTGAAAGGTCCCTGTAACCCTCTGCTGGTCCTTAGATCTTTAATCTGCGCTACACTAACAATAACTACCAGAAGACTGTATTTTCTCAACGGGATTATCATAATTTCTGGACTACAAAACACACCTGAATAAAAGCCGCAACAGCTAAATTTAGTCACAAAAACTCATTTGTAGAGATTAGCTGCCTCGGACTAATAGCCGCGGTTCTCCATGTTATTCATGGGGTATTGTCTGTATTACAAACATCGGTAGATGAGCCCGGGCGGCCCGGTGGTCCAGTGGTTAGCGCCTCGACCTCATAGTGCAGAGGTACCGGGTTCAATTCCAGCTCTGGCCTCCCTCAATTCCAGCTCCGGCCTCCCTGTGTGGAGTTTGGATGTTCTCCCCGGGCCCGCGTGGGCTTTCTCCGAGTACTCCGGTTTCCTCCCACATTCCAAAAATATGCATGGCAGGCTGACTGAACATTCTAAATTGTCCCTAGGTCTGAGTGTGAGCGTGGATGGTTATTCGTCTGTGTGTGCCCTGCAATTGGCTGGCAACCGGTTCGGGGTGTCCCCCGCCTACTGCACGAAGACAGCTGGGATAGGCTCCAGCACCCCCCGTGACCCTTGTGAGGATAAAGCGGATCGGAAAATGGATGGATGGATGGTAGATGAGCCCCTCCGCAAACAATAGCGAATACACAGCTATAGTTACAGAGAATCCCAGAACGTTTCTTTTCTCTTACTCTTTACTCTTGTCACATGAGGCATATTCGCAGATGACTGGGTGTCACACTGCAGGGAGGGCTGTTTATTGCACTTGTTCCCTTTGCTCATTAAATTCAAGTTGAGATGCTGAGTTTGGCTCTCAATTGCTCTTTCACACACAGCCATGTGTACTGCTAAGCATACACACATCCACGTGTCACTCAGCTCCCCTCCCCCTTTGTGTGTGTGTGTGTGTGTGTGTGTGTGTGTGTGTGTGTGTGTCTGTGTGTGTGTGTGTGTGTGTGTGTGTGTGTGTGTGTGTGTGTGTGTGTCAGCCTGAGCCAGCTCCTCCCTCAGCATGTGCATTCCAATTGCAAATAGCTGATGACGATTTGGTATGAGGGCGGACTCGGACACTTTTATTGGTCAACTGTGAGACGTGTTCGTTAATTTGAATAGTCAGAAGTGACTAGCTCCTCAGTCTAAATCCATAAATAAAACTCCACACAGGAAGGCCGGAGCCGGGATCGAACACTGCACCTCTGCACTGTGAGGTAGACATGTTAACCAATGGACTACCGTGCAGACCCAAACTTCAACCCTGGAACGGGTTATAGTCAGGAAAATGCAGTATTTATTGCGGTGAGAAGGTTTTCCTCTCCAAAACGATCACAATTCTTAAATCTTTTGGTGTCCTAAGACTTTTGTACAGTACTGAAAATACAGTACTGTATATAAAATGTCATGTTTTTCTTCAATTGTCACAATTTTCATGTTGTGACAACAACAATGTGAATAAGACTTTTTCCACATTCACCAATGGCGAGGAGCGCAGTGAAAAATTCCAACTTTGAGACAGACGGGGCCGGCGAACATGGTCTGAAGCCCGTCTGAAACGAGCACCAGGTTAAATTCCTCCTGTGCAAATAAACATCCGAGTCTGGATGTGTACTTTGCCACTTTCATGGCCATCAATCTTTATCCACTTATCCTCACAAGGTACGCGGGCGGGCTGGAGCCTATCCCAGCTGTCTTTCCGAAGTAGGCAGGTTACACCTTGAACTGGTTGCCCGCCAACCGCAGG